CTTATTACAGAACTCTAACCCGTTATCAGTCCTAAGGGTTTTAACCTTCCTGCCAGTTTGGTTTTCAACTAGGGTTTTCCACTCCCTAAACCTCACAAACACATCAGACTTGTGTTCTAAAAGGCAAACCCACACCTTCCTAGAAAAGTCATCAATAATAGAAAGGAAATATTTCCTACCCCCGTGGGTAGGAACACTGGCAGGACCCCAAACATCGGCATGAACATATTCAAGCACAGACGAACACTTAGACAGATTAGGGTAAGAGGAAGGAGGGAAACTGACTCTATGCTGCTTGCCCAACACACATGATTCACAGAAAGGCACAGAAGTCACAGAGTCCTTACCAAAATAACCAGCCCTACGCATGACATCTAAACCCTTATTGCTCATATGTCCTAGCCTATTATGCCACAAAGAGGTCTTATCAGAACATACAACATTCACAGATTCGGCAAAAGGTTTAGCATGACACACATAAAGGTTATTCACCTTCTCAGCTTTAAACAAAACAAGCGAGTTTTTCAGGATTTTCATACAACCATTCCCCCATTTTCCCTGTAGCCCACTACTCTCCAAAGCAGCAACAGATAACAAGTTATGACACAAATCAGGGACATGCCTCACATTCTTAATGGTAAACACAGAGCCACAAGAAAACTTCAGACATATATCACCAACACCAAGCACATTGCATCTCTTATTATCAGCTAAGGAAACGTAGCCACTATCACATAATTCATAAGTAGAAAACAAATTTCTAAAGGGGGACATGTGATAGGTACAACCAGAGTCAATCAACCATTCATGCTCAGATAGGGAATTTCTCACAGAGTTAACATGGTCACAAACCATCAAAATATCACCAAGGTCACATTTATCAACAGCTACACTAGCATGCTCGGTCTTCTTAGGGTGGGGGCAATCCTTAATGAAATGACCAGCGTTACCACAATTGTAACACACTCTCTTCCTAGATTTACTCCTCTTCCTCCCAGGCTGACTAGTGTTCTTACCCTGACTATTTTGCTTAGAGTTCTTAGACCTACCCTTAGATCTACCCCTAACAAACATAGCCTCACCGGAGTCCCTGGACTGACTAGCACTACCCCTAGCATGCTTCAGGTCTAATTCCTTACTCCTTAATCCATTCACAACAATGTCTAACGAAATCTCATCCCTACCATACTTAATAGCGGACTTAACATCATTATAAGAGTCGGGAATGGCATTAAGTAATACTATGGGAGTGTAATCATCTATGTGTTTATCACCTGCCTGTTTGATATTCTGTATCAGTTTATTAAACACATCCAGGTTCTCATCTATATCCTTAGTCAGGTCAAGCCTAAACCTAAAGAATTTCTCTAGTAAGAACAACTTCCCGGGCAAAGAGGTATCAGTATAGAGACTATCCAATTTCTCCCACAACTCCTTAGCGGACTCAAGAATACCTACTTTCCTAAGCACAGAATCAGACAGATTCAAGTAAATAGTAGAACAAGCAGTTTCGTTCATTTCAATTTGCTTAGCCTTATCTTCTGATTCTAGGAAAATACCAGTGACAGCTCTGAAAACTTTTTGCTGTATTAAAACACACTTAATTTTCTGTTTCCAAATATCAAAATCTGTTTTTCCATTAAATGGAAGCATACCATACTGATTTGCAGCCATGGTATCAACCACAAAGGAACACAAAGCTAAACAGATAGAAATGACAGAAAATAATCCAACCCGGGTTATAAAGTATTCACTTTAATAACCCCGGGCAGCATGCAACACATAGCAAAAAATGGACATTTTGGCAATTAAACAATTCCGGGCAGAAAAATTAAATTTAATTAATTCTACCCCTACCACCCGATAAACCACCCCTATGCATAACAATTAAATTAAATAACACTTAGCAATTCAATTTAACACACTAAAACAAACTGCCACAAAGGAGTGAGTTTAGAAAACGTACCTGGGGGGTTGGCGGCCGGGATTAAATCAACCGGCGGCCCGCGGGGAGGGGGAATAAATTAAATTAAATTAAAGCCGAAATGCTATAAATAATAAGTTTACTGAAAACTTACCTTCGCGAAACCCTAGGAGAGTGTTTCGACCTTACCTACCCAATTTTTAAAAAAATGGGATTTTTCGGGAGGGTTGACTACCGTTGACCGGCGTTGACCACCGTTGACCGGCGTTGACCGGCGGCGGTTGACTGGTGGTCCATCTCCTTAGCAGTCCATGTCTCCAGTCCAAGTCAGCAATCCAGCTCCCAGCTCTAGGTCCAGCAGCTTCAGCTCGGCAGCACTTCAGTAGAACTCCAGCCCAGAAAGCCAGAAGCCCAAATAAAAAATCAGCAGTCCAGCAGCGAATAAAATAACGAGGAAGAACTATTCGACCTTGCCCAACGCGCATGAACAGTACGCCTCTGCTTCGTCTTCGTCTTCAGCTTCAGCGCGAGGGAAGAGACCAGCGACGATCAACGCCAGTCAGCGGCAAGTGAGCAACGGCGAACAGCTTCCAGGAGGATGGCGGGACGTTTCCGGCGAGTGCGGCTCCAGCGGGTTGATATCCAGTCGGCGATGGCGGATACTGCTTCGGATGATTCTAGCACCACCGCGTCGGATTCGATCTCCAGGCGGCGATTCAGCGGGGATTCTGGTCTGTGACCGCCAGAATCGAAGATAGGCCGAGGAAGACGAACGACCAGGCCTCAGGGAACACCAGCGAGCTCCAATCGATGGCGGCGGCGGACGGCGGCGGCGGACGGCGGCAGACGGCGGTTCCAGGCTCTGATACCACTGTAAGGACCGTATCCGTCTCCGGCTCAGGTCTTTCTACACACACTACTCACATACACCACTCTAGGGGAAGCTATAGCACACCTATCTCTCAACTCTCTTCTTCTAACCACAAAGGAACTCACAAAGAGGAAGAAGGAAGACACTGCTCTCAGTTTGTTTCTCACGCAGGCTTGATTCACAAAGGAGGAAGAGTGTTGACTTATAATAGGCTGCCAGCCTATTGAGAAGTCACGGGTAAAGTAACAGTACACTCACGGGTGTGAATAATGGAACTCACGGGTATAAGCCAAGACAAATGGGGTTGCAGCGGACAGCAAGCAATGAGGCAGATTCCAGATATATTATTGATCAGGTAATATACCAAGGTAAAGGTGTCAAAGAGGGAGTAAATTAATAGGGTGCAAGCCTCAGCTAATAAAGTGGAAGGGAGGCCTTGGTAGGACCAATACCTCCAACAACCTTTTCGTTATTCATGAATAATCCAACCTTTGCACCTCATCTTCATTCACTGGTCCCTGACCGGTTGATGACCTGCTATTCCAAGTTATTTTCTTATCTTTGCAAAATATTATCTTTGTGAAAGATGGAATTTATGGTATAATAGTTTGCAGAGATAAGAAAATAACTCGGAATAGCAGGTCATCAACCGGTCGAGGACCAATGAATGAAGATGAGGTGCAAAGGTTGGATTATTCATGAATAACGAAAAGGTCGGACTATTAAAAGAAGACCGCTAAAAGGTTGGATTATTAGTTTCCATTTTCCCTTATTACAATGCCTATTTCATGTGCTTATAAACTAAACCTATTAGGAAGCTTCAACCTCAAGCATGAATGTTAGCAACTAGACAACTGCATGGTATACTTTGTATGTGTGATGGTGATGGATCGGTCTGGTTCTGATTTTCAAATAGACCGGTTCCTATTCCTCTCCATAAGACCCAATACCAGTGTTGGACCGGTTCCTGTCGGGATATAGTGGGGTTCCCTATGATGGTTAGCTATGTGATGACGATCAATTTGTAATGTTACATTTTGAGCATCTTTGGTGACCCCGTTTTCATTAAACACATAACTTTTGAATTCATGTGTTTAAACTATTGTAGAAGACTATTTTAACTATTTTTTCAGATATACTTTTTGTTATTTTATTTATTTTTTTTAAATATAATTGTTTTAGAACTCATCAAAATCAGTCAATCCAGCCATTTCGTTCTGAATTTCATAAGTTTCAACAGAATGAGTTGATCAAGCTAACTTTAGCGTTACCAAACGGGATTTTTTCAAAAATTTTACCAAAATAAAACTTATTTGCACATATATGATTAATAGTTACTACAATGTAGTGTCATAGTAACTGAAATTTAAAAGCTGAATATGGAGCATAAGTTACTATAATTTCATAGTAAATTTAGTTACTAGTCACATTTTTGTAAACAGTCTTTATTTTGGTTATGAATATGTAATTATTTCAATGAAAAAACTGGTATACGTAATAAAATCAAGGAAAAAGGATCAAATAAGTTCTTCTACTATTTCCAATCCTTCACTTAAACCATTGTACTAAAAAAAGTATCATATAAGTATGTCTACTTTTAAAATACAATCAACCAAGCTTTTTGATCTGATATAGCAAGTTATTTTTTTTATAAATAAATTAGGAATATTGATAAATCTTACAAAATCCATATAAGTTTGAATAAATAATCTAATAATAATATAAAAATAGTATAACATAAAAATAGATAAAATTTAAAAAAACCTAAAGTAAAAATAATAATCATAAAACTGAAAAACTAATGTGAAAATTTAAAAAAAATTAAAATTTAAAAACCTTTTAAATAAGAATATACAATTTAAAAAAAAACATTGACTTTGATATTCTGAAATTTTTTACATTTTTTGTATATATTTCTTCAAATTTTAACATTTTTGATAGAATTTTTAAGTATTAAAAATATGCTATTACAAGTCAAAACCTGATTAAATGGTCAAATTGATCCATTTTGTGAAGTTGGCGTACTTATATGATACATAGTACTTTTTTGGACAATTCTTTCTAACCTATATAATATTTGCTCAATGTTAAGTTTAACATCTTTAAACTGGGATGAGATTCAAACTTCTGACGTCCTAAAATAGTACTTGGTCAGGTAGTACTTTTTTTTTAGTACATAGACTTAAATGAAATAGTACTGCGGTTTATTTGAACTTTTTTTCCTAAAATTAAAATACAATAGTTGTAAATTGTAGGGAGTAATACATGCCACTGATCGACATCGTCACCATCGACCCATCTTCCCTCATCCTGTCCGTCGCCCTCGTAGCTCTGTAGCCGCCCGCACGTCCACATCCGCCTCCCGCGGACGTCGTCTGCTGCACCCGCGAAAAAACTCCTGACGTCTTTCCGACTCACTACTTAGCTAGGTAAACCAAATTCAAAATTAAATTTCAGATTTTGTTCAAAATAGAAAATTTTCAGATTCAATTATTGAATTTTTATGATATGTGTTTCAGAATGTTTTAGTTCAAGTATCAATTGACAATCTTTTGTTCATTTAATAAATTTCAATTAGTGAAACTTAGGAACAAAAGAATTGTAAAGAATTTCTGCACACCCTTCTTTATTCGATCATTCCGGCCCCAGGTCTTTATCTTGTTTTTTAATATTTAATGCAGATCATATGTCTTCAGTTTATAATCTTGAATTTAATCTCATTTTTTAATTTCTGTCTTGTTGTAAAAAAACCCTTCTCAGTTGTTCATTGTTTCTAACCCAACTTCCAATGAGAAGAAGTGATATAATCTGGTTTAGGTTATTGTGTTAACAACTTAAATTAAGTTACAGCTTATAACAAAAGTTTAAGTTTCTCTTTGACGTGTAAAGATAGTTACTGGACTTACTGAAATACTGTTACAAATACTTTAGCAGTGCACTATGATCGATATCAATGTGATTTTTTTTTTAAATACAACTCTGTTGGCAACTTTTTATAAATAACATTGAAAGCTTTCTTGCTGTTAACAGGGGCGAGTAGTATCATTTATGTTTGATAAGCGTATTCTCAAATTTCTTTTACTTCACCAAGAAATCAAACAACCATAAAATTTTCAAAAAAAATTCTGAACATGAATGATTGGAATATACCATATCTCATTATCACAACAATGTGGTTGGTGACTAACTAAATTTAACAATAGTATTTAAGTATTAACCCCATTGTTTTTCATATGATAGTTACTTGTAATAGATCTTTTTAATCCCATGTGGTGGATTGTTGTAGAGTTGAATTTGTGATGTTTTTTACTCGACTTTGATGAAAACTTCTATTCTTGTAAAATATTTATAAAATTTCTTTTTGTATTTCACCTCATTGCAATTGCAGTTATTTTATATGTACTAATTTTTGACCCACTCTCAATTCAAATGCTAGAACCGCCCCTGAATGTAAATACTACTCCCTCCGTCCCATTCAAAGGTTCTCGTCCACTATTCACATGGTCAACTTAAATCATTTTTAATCTTTTGCTTCATATATCAAAGTTTTATCAAGTTTACATTTTTTATCTGGCTTTGTAGCGGTTTTAATGTAGTTTCTGAATATGTAAATTTTATTTACTAAAAATAATCATTGTGAACAAGGATTAAGTTGCTTTATCGTCAGTCAAGCATCGTAAACCATAATTGGAACCTCCTAATGGGACGGAGGGAGTATGTATTTTGATTTGGACTAATGAATGATTGACATAGATTGTATACAAACATAGAAATCCCAAATTAGGTAAGAGCAGAGCATGAACAAAATTACAGTAGAAATATTAAATAAGATATGAACATATTTATGTGACATTTAAAATCAAAATCAAGAAATTTTCAACCCCTTTTCTCCTGGAATAAGATTTATAACCTCTCAAGAATGTCTTATTGCAGTCTGCAGACAGCTCTGAAGACATCACTACCAGGTCACCATCAAAAACTTCTTATTTCCGACAGGTCTGAAGAATTTTATGGCTCATTTTTACTGGCTGTGATGGTCTGCATCAAAGTTTTAATCTCAAATTACTGGGTTGCAAGTGCTGTGTGAAATAGCTATATACAGGGCTGCAATTAGAGTTTCTTAATCATTATTGAAGATTAATGTGGTGTCTTTCCATTTACACGTGTCTCTTCGTGTTTCTACGTCTTGACTCTTGAAAAGATAAATCATAATAAATGTTTATTTGGAATTACTGATTAGTTGTGTAGTACTGCAGTGTCTTCATTGTATTTATTGAGAACCAAAACTTTATTTCTACGATGGTGCTGCCAAATATAATCATTCCGTGTGCCAACTTTTGGAATGTATATATACTATATATATATATATATTATATGATAGTATTTTATTATATTAGTTGTACTAAAGTTCTCAATTTTTTAAGTTCATGTTAAAAAATCATGTATCTCGAATTGCTAGTGCTAACTATCAATTTCATTGATCGACTATTAGTTTATTACTTTAACATATTAATCAATGATCGATTTCTCTCTAGCATTGGACCTCATCCTATGGGCATTTTTATTACAAAAACAATCAACAATGCCTTATAGTTTTAACCTTGCTTTCTAGAACTATCAATACAAAACATCAAAGCAAGAGATAACCCCATGGGAAAAAAGAGCCCGGGCAGTATTATTTAGCAATCATCATTGTCATTAACCCGGTGCATCAAAGGCTCCCACCTACAGTAGGGTAAGGGGCAGTATTATTGTAGTAATGATAATGAAATTTCAGCGGCAATTTTTTAGTGCTACAAACTTCACGTTGCATGCTCTTAGAATATCTTGTAGGATGGTCGGTATTTTAGGCAAGTGGTAAAATATTGAATGAGATGAGAATTTCTGGACGATCTATTCGTCTAACTAAATCTCTCATCTAACTGGAAAAATGTTAAATTTTCAATCTTGTAAGTTTAGTAAAAAACCAATTCACTCTATTTAGTAGTGCTAATTCTACCTTTCATTGATTGATTATTAGTTTATTCATTTCACATATTAATAAATTATCTATTTCTCTCTGGCATTGCTCCTCATTCCATGGGCATGTTTATTACAAAAATAGAACACGAAAAGAAATAACTATGCTTGTCGCATTCTAAACTTTAAATGCATCCTGAAATTGTTAATGAAGAGCATGAAAAAGAGGTTAGGTAGTATTAGTGTATTGTTGTAGTAATGATAATCTAATTTCAGGGGCAGGTCTCTTTGGTGCTACAAACTGCGTGTTGTGGGGTCTTAGAATGTCTTGGAGCCTCGTAGGTTGGCCAGTATCTTAGGCAGGTGATAAAATATTGAATGATATGTCATTTCCAGACTGTCTATTTGTCTACCACTCTAACTAAATTTCTATATTGTAGGTGCTTCTGTGTGTGTAGAGATGTTATTTTGGCACTATAGCTATTGTACTGAAAACTCTGGAATCAATACTTTCAACAATGCAAATGTTGCCAAATGATAGTCGGGTAGAATCTGGTTCTGAAACAGAGCCCATCTTAAATCGCTCTAATGTTGCAATGGAATCTTCACATGCAATTGAAATCACAGTGAGTGAGGATTGTTCTGCCAGTTCTGATGATTCATCAAGTATTGAAGTTGATGGAAGTGAATCGCTGTTAAATTTAGAGCAACCACAATGCCGTATATGCCTTGATACTGAAGGTTTTGTATGCCTGTTGTGCCAGTAATGCTGGTTCAATCGATTGCTAAGCTATTAACGCCATAACGGTTAAAGCTTGTGTTGGTTTAAAGGATGCTTTTACTTTATGTACTCATGTATTTGGGATAGCGTAATTATGAATGCAGAGTGTGGGTGAAAGCAACACATATTGCTCACAAAACGCATCTATCTTTTTTGCATTTTTTAGGTGAAGATTTGATTGCACCTTGCCATTGTAAGGGAACCCAAAAATATGTCCACAGGTCATGTCTTGATAATTGGAGATCTACAAAGGTAATACTCTGTATATGCTTATCTTATTTCCTTTGTTCAGAACATCAGGTGTAATGCTCCTCCCTTTTCTTCAATTAAGTCTTTTTGATGTATGAAGTTTACAAAATAAAGGCATAAAAGATACATCTTAATCACGTCACACTTAGAAAAGTCATGAACTATCCCTAACTGGTAATTAAGTTAAAAAACAAAACTGGTGATGTCGTGAATTTGAAAGAAGGAAGCTGGACAGGGGAACAAATAAATTATATAGTGACTAGCAACATCCAGAAAGACATCAAGAATTATGAGTAGACAAGTACTAAATACCATATAGAAGCTCGTGAAGAAGAGAATAGAGAAGGGGGTTGTTACGGCATGGTCACCAGGTTCCATCGCCTTGCCTGAAGTAGACTAGGCAACTGCATCATCGTCCAAGTGTAGTCCAGACGTAGATTAGACGAAAAGGGCTATGCTAAATTTGGAGTTCAAAAATCCATTAAACCAAGCCCCAAAAAATAGAAACTAAAATTTGGAAACTCCTTTAGTTAGGTGTACTAATTACGATGCCAGATTTAGGAGTATTATAAATACAGCCCAACTCTTACTTTGTAACTTTGCAAGACTGATATGTTGAACTCCAGTCGAAGAAGTCTGACAGTTTCAGAAGCCAGAATGCAGTCCAACTCCAGTCGAAGGAGAATTTCAAATCGTCGGCTGAATCTTCCTTCCGCTGGTCTCGTTTTTCTTTCTCCTTTCTATATTTTCCAGTTTTTCCTCCTTATCGTTTTCTTCTTGCACAGTATATTGCCGGTCCCTTTTAATTATGTATGTTATATATAGGATTTATAATTTTTTGTCTTATTTATTTATTTATTTATTTATTTATTTATTTATTTATTTATTTATTTATTTATTTATTTATTTATTTATTTATTTATTTATTTATTTATTTATTTATTTATTTATTTATTTATTTATTTATTTATTTATTTATTTATTTATTTATTTATTTATTTATTTATTTATTTATTTATTTATTTATTTATTTATTTATTTATTTATTTATTTATTTATTTATTTATTTATTTATTTATTTATTTATTTATTTATTTATTTATTTATTTATTTATTTATTTATTTATTTATTTATTTATTTATTTATTTATTTATTTATTTATTTATTTATTTATTTATTTATTTATTTATTTATTTATTTATTTATTTATTTATTTATTTATTTATTTATTTATTTATTTATTTATTTATTTATTTATTTATTTATTTATTTATTTATTTATTTATTCAGTCTGAATTTATGCATTGCTATAGTATAAAAGAACCTATTGCCTCCTTTACTAAGTACAGTGCTACAGATATACACTTTCACTTCCTCTCTCTTTCTTATAGGATAATAAAAATACTGCCAACTAGCCTATTGAGTTCAAATAGTAACACACCCATAACTGTTTATGTAAGCATTTAAATCGAATTTCTTGCTGAGAAAGTGTTTGTATTATTATTGGTATATATTTGATTAGCTTTGTTATAAATTTCAAATTTTGAATTTTGAATTTTTTGTATTCAATAGCCAATAATATTACTGCCTCCGTCCCACTAACATTAGGACATGGAGAGGACTTGTTATCTCTTTCCTAACTACTTTTCTCTTTAAGTATTTAAAAACATGTTTGTGTAATGGGTGCAATAAATTTGATGTTTGAGCTTCACTCCCCCCAAAAGGAAACAAAAATAGACAAAGTATTGCCCATAATCACTAGTCCCAATGTTACTCTCCTGGATTGTTCTGTTAGACGGGTATTGGTATATATTTGGTAAGTTTAAGAATTAAGAGCAAATTTTTTAAAATGCATATAAATGCTCATTGATGGCTTCACATATTTGCTAACTCAACATATGATTAATCAATTATGCTAATTCAATTTAATTATTTTACACATAGTCTCCATGTTTTTCCCATATCACCTTGTGTGCTCATTAGTGAGTTGCTACTCGCTACATGCTCAATAAAATTATTGATATGAAGAGTGTGCATCAATGTTCACGGAGATCAGTTGCAATTACCTTATCATTCACCTTCATTTTTTTGAATATTTAAATGAACAATAAACAATGCTACATTGTCAATCGAATTTGTGCCAACAATTTACAGTGTTTGTGTGTTAATTTTTCCAGGAGGGTTTTGCTTTCGCTCATTGTACAGAGTGCAAGGCAAAGTTTATATTGAGGGCAAATGTACCACCTGATCGGTGGTGGTTGAGGTTGAAATTTCAGTTTCTTGTTGCAAGAGACCATGCTTTCATTTTTCTTGTTGTCCAGCTGGTATATAGTCTTCCATTTACTTATTGCCTTCTCTAAGTTGCTGTCCTCTCTTCAAGGGTAGTACTGTCTTTGGTTAATAAAAAGAGCTTATACTACAGATTGTAGCAATCTTAGGAGTGCTAGTGTACAAATTTTATGGAGAGGAGTTGCGGGAAATGTTTGGTTATGAAGAACATCCATATGGATTTTATACAATGGCAGGTATACCATACCATGGTTTATTGTTTTTTTGTATTTCATTTTTGCATTTAACTGGTATTTGAAGAGGAAATGGTAGCATAATTTCCAAGCACTCTATTTTTCTGTGTTTTATTTATTTAACATTTTCTTTTCACAATGAAATCTCTCCTTATTTTGATAGTTTTTAAACCTTGCAGTTTTGGCAATCGTGTTGGTTGGATTGCTTTATGGTTTCTTCATAGCAATAATTTGTGGACAGAGGATTAGTGAACGTCACTACTATGTTCTTGCAAAACCTGAACTTACGAAGGTGTATAAGTTGTTCATAAGATCATTATCATCAGTTCCTTAATCCCAACTAGTTGGGGGTCGGTGGCATGACTTTAATTTAGCTGCTAAGATTAGTTAGCACTTAAAGTTCATGCAAAAAGTATAGCGGCAAAGTTCTACACTGGATGCCCTTGTTCCAACCTTCTTGAGAAGAAAGTAAGAAGAAATAATGAGATGAAATTCTAAAACCGTCCTCACCGTAAGTTATTTTCACTTGCATGGAAAAAATGATAAGACATGGATGAAATGAGACCATTTTTATTTTCATGCTCATAATTTCTGGGGGTGTGCCATGGTCATCATTATGACAATAGTCTTGACTCTTGAATATACTCTTGCCTCAGTGTGGGAAAAGAAAATCTAGAAGTGTTGACCTGCATTGTTTACTTGTGATATTTAAATGGAAACACACTCTTTTGGGATCGAACATAAGATAGTACCAGAGGCATATTGTTTTTTGTTTGCCTGGCTCATCATCTTCTGGCCTTTTTTTGTGGTATCTTTTCTGTCGTTTTTTCATGATATACTTCACTGGTTCAAATTTTCATTTTTAAATTGGTAGGAATATGTTGTAGAAGACCGGGATGCATCGAGTAAGATTGTCCCAGAACTAGACCCTAGCCACGTGTCAGAGCTAAGGATGTTGGGCCTATATTAAGGTATGAACTTAGCTTTTGCTCATTAATCAGACGCATATTCCATTTCATTTTATCTTAATTTTATCATTAAGTAGGAAGACATTGGGGGGTTGTTGATTGTATGAAAAGTTGGGAGTGTTACAAGCCTGGGGTTAGGAACAGTAGGAAGTTGTATATTTCCTAGACTCCCAGTGCGTGGGTATAGCTGGTGCTGGTAGAATCTACCCCAGTGTTAGGTTAGTGGAGCCAAATGGGATGCAGGGGGGATGGTAATTTTGGGGGGATGTGTTTAAAGGCTTAAATGTGCTTTTGACAGGATAAAAACTGAACACAGTTTTATACAATTGTCTTGTTAAAGGCTGTAATGTTTTCTAGTAAACCTGCTTTAACTAGAGCTATGATTACCAGAATTCAAAAGCGCCACTTAAAATCACTTTTACTATGATAGTATGATAAGTCTTATTACTCAGAACAATGTTTGGGCCTATCTTATGCAAATTTCTTAACTCGCAGGGTTTCACCTTCCCATGACTTAATGAGGTAAATTCTACTTTCAACAGAATTTACGAACAATGAAATATACGTTTATGCACGGCATCAAAGCTGGCTCGCAAGAGTCCAGTCTTGAAAACTAGAAATACATATTTTACTCATTCTTGCTCTATGAGGAAGCATCTACTGCAAAATGCAGTTAGGAGAAACTGAACATTTGGGACTCCGTATTCAAAGTTTTAATTTTTCTCCATTTTCTTTTTGTAGATTAGTACTTTAGTTGGTATGTTTGCAAAAAAATGGTTTGCTGATCTGTGTTGCTTATTGAGTTCAGTTACCCAAAGTTCCACTTTCCATTTACTACGTATGTTGTACAGATGGAAGGATTTTAGTTCTTGAGTTGAAGTTCCAACATTGTAGTATTAGTGAATATGGATATCTTTTTTACTACACATGGTTTAAATTTGGATTAGTCCAATGATAAAAATGCAAAGAGATTTCAGTAGGAAGGGCATGTTTTTGGTAACCCAAATTTTCATTGGATTCAATCTAAACCTCGATTTCAGACCATCCGGTCATGATTAAAAAATCTACAAGTGAAATTCGCTAGACACTTTAGGGTGACATCATAGATGGATTGGAACATGAATTGTTAGACTGACTATTTATTGAAAATTGGCTGTGATCACTTATAGGCTATAGCCTAAGCACAAGTGCACAAAACGTAGGAAACGATATTTAGACAAAAACACAGATCTTTGGTCACGGCTTCACACAAACGATTCCTAAGCCATTAGCGTCAACATTCTATTATGTGTTGTGACTTGTGAAGACCAAAGCTTATTTTTATGTGTTGTGACTTCTGAAGACCAAAGCTTATTTTTATGTGTTGTGACTTCTGAAGACCAAAGCTTATTAGCAAATTGATTATTGATGTACCCTTTCGCTCAGTTTATGACTCTAAAGTAAAGATGCTACGTTTATTGTATTGGAAAAAGCAATAATATTGTTTGAAAATCTTTAACTGAAAGGGTATACACACAACTTTTTACAAGTATTAAATACATGATCTAACTAATTATATACTTCTTTTTTTGCAACACTTCTGATTTTATGTTTGTCAATGCACAACTTTGATCATAAATATATTTAATTATCTATTGTAAAAAGATCACTTTTTGAAAATTTAAAATAAGTAAAATTTAATAATATTTTTAAAAAAAAAGTATCTTCTAGTGCATTAGTAAATAAAACGTAATCAAAGTTAAAAACATAAATAGTGTAAATTTCTAATGTTGTAACTATTTAAGAACATGGATAATAGTTATTTGTAGCTTAAACCCAATAAAGTAAAAAACGAATTCTCCTCTCTCCAACCAAACTGGCCCTAAGTGATTTTAATTCAATTATATGGTTGTTACTTTTTTTTTGAAGAGGAAACAATTAACTATCATTCAAAGAATCGGAGTTTAGTACATGAATAATGAAAGGAGGTAAATCATCCCAATAAATACAGTCAGACATAGAACAAGCGATTTTAGCTAACTCGTGAGCCGCCCTATTCGCCAACCGTCTAATATGAAAAAAAGAGATGTCGGTAAAACCTAAAGAAATCTCTCGAATATCACCGCCAATGATCCCTGCAATAGAAACACTCGACTCCTGAAAAACTTCCGCCACAGCCCCCGAGGAGTCTGATTCCACCTCAATACAATCCCAACCTCTTTCTTTCATCTAGCTCAATGCCTCTCTAATGCTAAATTGCTAATTAGCTCAGCTTCCAATGGAGTCAAAACTCCATGCCAAGCCTTCGCCACACCTGTAATAAAATCCACTGCTTCATTTAGTAATACCCACCCCAGACCACAAATCTTCTCTCTCACGGCCGTATCCACATTCAACTTGTATTTTCCCGAAGAAGGTTTCCTCTAAGCTGAGTTTGCAGCCCCTCCAATATTGCTTTCACGACATACTGGTTGTTGTGCAAGTCTCCAGCCATCAACGTACATCCTGGACTTTACAAGGATCAGTTTCGGGCCTGAAAGGACCCCATTCCAGGTCCTATTATTGCGTTCACGCCATAACCCCCAACACGCCCAGACCAACCTGCACAAATCTTCCTCTTTCCTAACTTCAAACTCTGCCCGGATCTACTCCATAAAGGACTGTAAAGGAGAAGCCGACCAGCTCCAACAAATCGAGTTCCAGGCCACCATTGCTACAGGACATGTCACAAAAAGATGCTGCAACATCTCCTCCTCTCCTCCACACAAACCAGGGCGCACAATTTACCTTCCTAAGTTTCAAATTGATTTTTGTAGGAAGCAATTTGATTTTCGTAGGAAGCAAATCACAACAAACCTACGTATTAACAATTACAAAGTTTACATAATAAAACTCACATGATAAGACCAACAATATCAAGGTTAAATATGATAAGAAAAGTGAAAGAACTTAGAACATACAAAATAAGTTTTTTTTTTTTGCAGTACTTTCTCTTTTCTCATAATGTCTGTCCTATTAAATGTCAACATCCTTGATTGAGATGAGTTTCAAACATCTGACATCCTCCTTGAAAGTGTCACAGTAATGTCATCGAATCACAAAGTGCTTGACTGAACATAGAAAGTAAGTTAGGCAAAGTATATCAACAAAGAGTTATATTTGTTAGTATCATATTGAGTAAATATCATTTGAACAACAACAATTTTGATACCTCGCGTTATATTAAACTACCTCCAACTTTTTTGTGGAGATAATTCTAATGACTCATTTGTAGTACAAAAAATGAGTACTAAAAATGAAAACGGGTCATTTGTATATATCATATCTGTAAAAGGGGTCATTTTTTAGTGCTAGAAATGAAAAAAGGGTCATTTTTGTCCATAATTCAGTTTTTAAATACCATACTAATTATCTACATCTCTTACAATATTGTCCAAAACCATTTTAATTGTGTGAAATTGTATCCAAATAATTTCATTTTTCATAGTGAACATTTAAAAATTGTTGTATTTAAAGTGTCACATACAATGACGAATCAAAAATTGCAGGTTAGGAGGGTCGAATTTGAAGAATTTATGTTGAATGAGCAGAGTCTAAAATATCACTATATTTTTTAGTACGTATAGATACACACACATATAGATGTTTTTTCCTTGGGGGATACCCCTCCAGCACCCGGTCTCTAACCCTAGCCACTTACTACTTTTATGTAAAAAAATTACTACCTCCCTCCCAAAATTAACTTCCCGTTCGGTTTACGATGTTTGACTGACGATAAAGCAACTCGATCCCTGCTCACACTCGGATTATTTTTAGTAAATAAAATTTACATATTCAGAAACTACATTAAAACCGCTACAAAGCTTGATCAATAAAATTTAAATTTGATAAAAATTTGATATAAAAAGTAAAAGATTACGAGTGATTCAAGTTGACCAATGAATAGTGACTGTGAAGTTGTTTTTGGGACGGAGGGAGTATTACACAACTTGTAAAATATTACTCATATACATAAATAATGGATACAAGTATAAGTTTCCATTATTTATTGCTCTGTTACAAGTATAAAGTTAAATAATTTTATTTCTTTAGTAAAAAATAAAAAAAAAGTTTCTCTAAAAAAAGGAAAACTGTCAATTTGGTTCTCATACTATTACGAAAAAGTCAATTAAGTCCTCGTATATTTGAAAAAATCATTCAAATCTCTGAACTTTGTAAAAACATTCAATTGAGTCCATTTGTAGGTTACTTGTCATTTCAGCAGGTCACCCACTAATGTGGCGCACATGTGACAGTCTAATCAACAATGACTTTGCTGACGTGGCACAGACGTGGAAGTTCAATCATTCATTTGATGATGACTAAAACCTTCAAATAGACTCAATTGAATGTTACTACAAAATGTAGGAATTTGATTACTTTTTTAAATGTATGAGGACGTAATTGATTTTTTTCGTGATAGTACGGAACCAAATTAACAGTTTTCACCAAAAAAAAATAAGACTTCCATTTTGGTAGTAAACTGTAAACGTGACCTTTGAAAAACGGAGGGCTTGACAATCAAGCTGTCTTCGAAGTTCCAATTTCATTTACTGAACGCTAGGGTTAGGGTCTCTATCGGATCTCAACGAAGATGGCGATGAGGAGCTTCTACAACGAGATAAAGGGCATGAGAGTTAAGGAATTGCCGGCGCACTTGAAACCGATGCTGTCGGTCAACTATGTCAAGAATGCGTTCAAGAGGGGATTGGATAACTACCATGCCAAGTATATCGAGACCAGCTCCGCCGATCCTCTGTACCATATTTGCTTCGGAGGCTTAATCTTTTCATACCTAGTCGCTCTTCCGGAGGAGCGCCGTCATCTCGCGCATCAACAGCATGCCAAGGAGCACGGCGGACACTGATCCATTTGCCCGGTGCTCTCTCCTTTCATCAAAGGTATCTTACAAGTAATTTAATGCAAACACAATTCTTTGAATCTGAACTAATTTATGACCCTTTATCAATCGGCACGTTTTGGTTTTTCTCATGATAAACAAAGTTTGTTGTCAATTTGTCATTTTTAAGTTACATTAGTTCTAATATGTAAAAGTTTATGTTTTAATGCAATTCTGTTTCATATATTGTATGTGCCATCCATGATGAGTGTGCTTTGCGGCTATTTTTATAAATCCGTTCCAGTGATTTTTAATGGTTCCTGTGTTGACCATATACTGGGGTCTTTGGCGGGGGTATTCATTCCAAAAAGATGCTTTTTCTGCTCCTGTTTTGAATTTTGACCCGAATGGAACTATTTTTTAAACCAGCAAATGATCTTGCGTTGACTTTCATTTAGAACAAATGAAGGGCTATGTAGTATATTTTGTTTACACCAGCAGTTGATCTTTTATAGACTTTGACGTATAATAAATGAAAGGTAAGTAGTGTGGTGATCTATTTCGGTTCAATGGGGGCGTCTACTATCACCTCCTAACTCATATTATATGGTATCAAGTTTGTAATTGAATTAAAGATTGAATCTTGAAACAACAATATATGCTTCTTGGAACAAATTGACTGTTCAAACACACTTGTGCAGTTGTGCCACTTTTATCTTTAGAATCTCATTAGGCTAAGGATAGCAGGGTAACCAGGGTTAATGTGTTCTATTATTGAAAATTAAGTGCCTTCATGTTCTATGTTAGTTAGAGTTATACTCCTTAACTAACTTTTATCTTGTTAACATTGTTTTATTAGATCTTGCTTAAATTTGAAACATCGTGTGCCATTATATACTGTTGCTGATATCTTGATGCTTTGACGATGTCGTTAATGATGTGTTAGGGGTCTAGACTTATCTTTATCCTGCTTTCTGTTGAGTTGAGTCTTTGAAACAACTCAATACAAGAAATAATCTTGTCCGTGTGCTGTGTTGTTTGGGGGAGGGGATTGGAAATGTTGTGCATAAGTTTACACTTTACAACAAGATGTTCAAGGGATTGTCAAGATCTCTGTGTGAACTCACCAAATCATAGGGTAACATGGCTGTAGTATACTAATGTTGTGGGTCAGCAGATCCCCAACATTCCTTGAAGATGCTTCACCGTGCTTCCACTTCTTCAATGATTAAAAGAACAAGGTTAAATCAATGAATAGCGTTAAATCTTCTATCTGTGTTTTTTCTTCTTCTTGTTTTCCTTCTATGAGACTCTAATGTTCTTCGCAATGATCCTGGTGATTCCCAGAATCTAAAAGAGACTGTAGTGAAGACAAAAACTTTGGTAAATGAAGTGCTAGCGTATTCGATTTAACTGGGTTGTGTTTTTACTTTTTATGGCCTTTTATATATTTCAGACTTTTTTTTGCTTATTCCGTCTCC